TTGAAGATTGGCGTCAGGAAACGTGTGAGAGACCACAGCAAAACAGATGTCGAGGGTATCTGCACTGCCCTCCGTCGTGGTCATAGGTAGGCGAGAAAGGCAATCAGCGTCCGAATGACGTCGTCCACTTCTGTACGACATTCTGAAGTCAAATTCTTGAAAGCATAAAGCTCATCGAGCAAGGCAGCCAGAAGGGTCTCGAACGGTAACAAGACAACATAATGAATGATGGTCTGTCACAATCGTGAATGGACGACCGTAGAGGTAACCTCGAAACCTCTGAATTATGAATACAGCCGCTAAACATTCTTGCTCTGTCACCGTATAATTCATTTCAACCTTGCTTAGAGATCGACTTGTATAAGCAACAACATGCTCTGCATTATCATGGCGCTGAACAAGCACACCTCCGATGCTAATTCCACTTGCGTCACTGTGCACTTCTGTAGGAACCGAAGAATCGAAATGACGATGAATAGGCTTAAATGTCAGTAGAAGTTTCAGTTCAGAAAATGCGGCATCACAATCAGGTGTCCATTCGAATGGGCTGTCTTTTCGCAACAAGCTCGTCAGTGGGTGTACTACGTCCGTGAATCGGGGCACAAAGCGGCGAAAGTAGGAACATAGGCCCAAGAAGCTGCGAAGTTCCTTCAGTGTCTGGGGTGGTTTGAATCATCACGTTCTACTTGCTAAACTCGAATCATTTGGTATGTCTGGTCCGCCACTAAGTTTTATTAAGAGCTACCTCAGTAACCGGTCTCAAATAGTTCATGTTAATGGCCATCTTTCAACGCCCAAGTTAATTAACGTCGGTGTTCCACAGGGATCAATTTTAGGCCCACTTTTATTTTTGATGTTTATTAATGATCTACCTACAATTCTTACAAGGACCAAGTGCATACTTTACGCTGACGACACAACCATCTTTCAGTCATCTAAATCAGTTTCTTCACTCCAGTCTGACCTCAACACAGATTTACATAACATAACTTTATGGTGCCAGGCCAATTATCTTCAGATCAATGCTACTAAAACCGTGTTTATGTTGTTCCATTCCCCGCGCATTTCACTTGACATACAACCTTCCCTTCACATTGGTAATACCGTCATAAACATTTCCAGTGAAGCGCGGTTTCTTGGCGTCATCTTAGATAGCGAACTAAAATTTCATAAACATGCAGCATCACTCGCTAAAAGATTGCATTTGGTATTCACGTTATCATCAAGACACGAACTTATTTTCCGCCTCACATCATACGTACTTTGTATTTTGCTTATATTCATAGCCATATTTCGTATTGCGTATCATCTTGGGCCAACACATATTTCACGCACATCGAACGTTTGCAGCGACTTCAGAATCAAGCAGTTAGATTAATGACTTTCAGCCCATTTTACTTCTCCTGCAGCTCGTTGTTTTCTCAGCTTAACATACTCCCATTGAGACAATTATTTTGTCATAGAATGTCCGTTGTCGCCTTTAGACTCATCACGCATGACATTTTTATTGCATGCATTGATCATCGTCACTTAACTAATGGTAACATCACCAGGTTTTCTCAGTGCTATAATCTTCTTTTGCCGGCCGTAAGGACAAACTACGGCAGGTTCTCAACCTTATTTACTAGCATAGCCATTTGGAATTCATTGCCTTTCGAATTGAAATCATCACATAACATTCATATTTTCACTTCGCGTAGTAAGAAATATTACGTTCAGGAATTAATCAACTCATCCGATTTGTGTAATTAACTGTTAATAGCTTTCAACAGTTCTGTGCTTTTTTACTACTTCAATTTGCCATTGTATAATTGATAACACTGATAATGAAACGTGTTACATTTGTCACGTAGAGTTCATTAATATTGTTTTTTGTCTTAACTTGCTTTTGATTGTTTCCTTGTTATTTTTCAATAGTGAGTATTACCATTATGTTGTGTATTGATCGTGTTTTTATTGTTAATCAAGATTATTCATTATTACTCACAAGACCGTATACTATTGCTGTATTTTTTTGTAATTACCCCATCCATGTAGCCATAGGAGGTCCCCCTGTCAGTTTCTCTGAAACTTTGGGACCTCCTGCTGTAATAACGCTAACCATGTAACTCAACTGAACTATTTAATAAACTTGACTTGACTTGACTTGAATGTGCCGACTGTTTCGATTTTGCGGGGATCCGGCCTGACATCATCTTTGTCAACTAGGTGACCTAGGACTAAAGCTTGTCGTTCACCAAACCGGCACTTCTTAGAGTTCAAAATCAAGCCAGCCATTCCGACACAGTCAAAACAAAGCTTAAACGGACGTTGTGCTCTTCGAAGGTACGCCCAAAAATGACGTGTTCATCCAGGTAGCATAAGCACACCTCCCATTTAAGACCACGAAGGACAGAGTCCATAAACCTTTCAAAAGTGGCGGGGGCGTTGCAAAGCCCGAACGGCATCACATTGAATTGGTACAGTCCACCGGGCATCATGAATGCGGTCTTCTTGTCTGAAGGGTGCATAGGTATCTGCAAATGTCCTGATTGTAGGTCTATTGAAGAAAAGTATGAAGCCAAGTGTAAGCAGTCAATAACATCATCAATCCTAGGCAGCGAATATACACCTTTTTTGGTCACGGCGTTGAGTCTTCTGTAATCAACGCAGAACCGCCAGGCACCATCTTTCTTCTTAACCAAGATGACTGGTGCTGCCCACGAGCTACATGACTCTTCAATGACACCCTTCTTGAGCATTTACTGAACCTGGTCGGCAATAACTTTTTGTTCTGATGACGACATTCGGTAAGGCTTTTGTCGGATCGGATGGGTAGTGCTTGTGTCAAACCTATGGTGAGCGCGAGAATACGGTAAAGGTAGTGGCTTCTCCTCTTGGCAAAAGTCAAACACAGAAGCATGTCGCCTCAACAGATGGCGTAACGTCTGCTGCTCGTGTGACCGCAAAGTGGCGCTAATCATGCCTAGGATCTGCGACTCGTAAGAGCAACAGCGCTTGGCAGAGACTGTACCTTTCTCGCTTTTATCGTGGTTAAGGACCGCTACAGAACCTTCAGTGGAATCATCGAAGACGCCAAGCTTCATTCCTCGAGGGAGCACAACCGGCATTGGCGAACAGTTCAGTGCCCACAGAAAGGTTGCTCCTTCATCAACAGATACCAAACAACGAGGGACGAGTATGCCTTTCTTAGCACATTGAACGATGGCAGGTTCAACGATGGCGTCAAAAGATGTGGCAGATTCTGGGGCAAACACCGCAACTGGCCTCATTGGCCATGGTGGCACTGTCAGCTAATCGGAAACAATCAGAGCATCCTTCGCGGCCTGCGGCACCTCATCGACGAGGGCAGGAACAATGTCACTACTGGCGGAAAGTTCACCGCTTCCACAGTCGACGAAAGCGCCACATCCTTGGAGAAAGTCAAGGACCGAGAATCACATCGTGGGTACAACGTTGCAGCACAAGAAACTCTGTTGGGAACACCTTTCCTGCCAATAAGACATTGACGGCACATACTCCGACAGGATGAAGTACTTCCCCACCAACACCACGAAACCTTAAATTGTTGATTCGCCCCAAGAAAACATAACTTTGCGGCTAATGCGAATTTTGAAAGACTCATAACTGATATCGTAGCACCAGTGTCCACCAAAGCGCTTGTACAAAAGCCATCTATTTCCACACGTATCTTGTTCCCTGCTATTATAACTGGCGGAGGCGTCTGAGGCAAATCCTGTTGCGCGACGTGACCTCCATCGGTCGCGCTGGCTAGTTTCCCAGCGGCAGCGGCGATAACAGGCGTCGTCCCGGCAAAGAGGAACGATGCAGTCGGCAGGATGGAGGCGTCAAACTACGGTCAGAAGCAGGAGAACTGTCACGGTGATTTCCCCGCCGTGAGGTACTCCTGGAATAGGCGGGCCAATGACCGTTATTGTGACCAGTGCCCGCTGGTGGAAACTCTGATGGGGAATGATATGGGGATGTCGGCTCTCTCTGTCGACGACAGAACCGAGCTATATGCCCGGCGATACCGCAAGGTAGCACACAGGGGCTTGGCGGCATGCATTGTACTGACGTGGTGGTGGTACAGGTACAGGTTCCCGGCGATACCGCAACGGTAGCACACAGGGGCTTGGCGGTATGCATTGCGCTGGTGGTACAGGTAAATCTTCGTTCGGGTCGTAATAAGTGTTGGATGGCTGATGGGGGTAATTGAAGCGGTCTTCGTACCTCGGCAGCGGGTAGTTATTGCGCTGTGACCTCAGTGGTGAGGGTGGCCTGTAGTTGCAGTCATCGATGCCTGCTGCGGCAATTGACACGGGAGGGTGAGAGGGAGGCAGTGCGGGTGTAACTTTGTATGTCGTCGGGCGAGCGTGTCGAATGAGCTCTTCTCGAACGATCTGGCGTATTGTCGACGCCAGATCAAGCAGCGTGTATTCGTCAACACTTGCCACGATGGTTATATTCGGTAGGCGACCGACCTTGGGGGTGATACGTCGCATCTTCAGGGTCTCGAATGTGCGACAGTGGCCTATGACGTCGGTTACCATAGCAAGGCTGTCTTTGCTGATGAGGAACTGATACACGTCCTCGGCAATGCCCTTCAACAGGTGGCCAACTTTGTCTTCCTCTGACATAGAAGGGTTGACAATCTTGCAGAGCTTCAAGATTGCCTCGACATAGGTCGTGCACGTCTCTCCTGGGATCTGAGCTCTCTGCAGTAACGTTTGTTCCACCTGCTTTCTCTTAGCTACGGAGTCTCCGAAGCACGCTCTTACTTCGGGAACGAAGCGATCCCATGACATGAGGGTGTGGTGTCGTGGCGCCACCTGTGAGTGGCGCGCGCACTAAATGCGCCCTAGTGTGTACTCTGTCAACAGATGTCGTCAGTAACAGCACACACGTGATTGCATGCAGCCAATCACGTGTGTCCGCGTGTCCGTTGTGTGTCGTTCAATAAACGGCTGCTGGCCGGCTCAGTCTTTGTTGAACTTCCGCGGGCTCCGGTCAACTCACTTCTACTGCGCGTGTTGGGGGCGCGTGCCGGCGCACGTTGCGTCTCGCGTTCAGTCGTCAGGCCCTCGCCGTCGGACGCCACTCGCCGACACAACAACATGGCGACGAGGATGTTCTTCGCCTCGGTTCCTACCACAGCAAAAAGAACCCGTGAGTTTCCTATTACTCCCGCCTGTTTCTGTCCTGTCTGACGCATCTGGCGTCCGCGAGGCCTAGCGCTCTTTATGTGCAGACTCTGGCAAGCTCTTGCCTAGGCCTTCGCCCTTGCTCCGCTCCACACCTCTCTGTACTACCTCTCCTGTCGGCATGGCTCTCTTCGAGCACCTTCATGTCTTCCGCCAGCTGCCGGGGCCGCCCCCGGTTCCGTGGACTCATTGGAAAAAAATGTTTCAGGCCCACCTCGAGGCGGCCGGCGGCAGCGACTGGAATGACGCGCGTCGTGCGTCGGCGCTCGTTAGCCTGCTGGGACGGGAAGGACAGCGGAGGTATTTCGTGGCAGCCGAACAGGAAGAAGCCCGACACGAGACGAGCAACGCGGCGCCAACTATGCCGGCGTCTGACCCAGATTCTTCGGCTCCGGCCGTTAGAAAGTATGACAGTCTCGTCAAGCAGCTCAACCGGCTTTTCGCCGCGTCCACTAATCCGCTAGTTGAAGGTCACAAGTTCACTAGTTGTCGTCAACTCCCCGGCGAGAGTTTCCTCGACTTCGTGACAGTCCTGAAGGAGAAAGCCGTACAATGCAAGTTTGGGCTCACGTACGCGGAACGCGTCCGCGATCAGATTATTCGCGGCTTGTCCAAAGTGCGGGTGAGAGAGAAGGTGCTGGCATACGGCGAAGAGTTGTCCTTGGAGAAGGCGGAAGAAGTCGGTCGGACGCTCGAAGCGTTGTTCTTGGCGAACCAAGAGTTTAACCCCAGTCAACCTGAACATGTCGAAGCCGTTGGGCAAGGCGCCCAATATGGCGGCGCGAGGAGAAAGAATGGTCGCGCCAGTCGGGGAGGTAGTGACGTCACGCACCAGGTCCGGGAGGCCAAGATGGCGACTTTCAGTGGCAGTCGTCGTCGGGGTACCGTGCTCCAGTCCCAAATGGGAAGTCTCGAGGCGACTTCCAACCTCAATTGTACGACCACTGTGGAAGCAGATAGCACCACTCAAGTTTTCGAAATTGTCCAGCCCGAAGTCGACGTTGCAATACGTGCAACGCTTGGGGACATTTCGCGTCGATGTGCTGCAAGACTGCCCCTGTACAGCGCGTCTCTTCGAGGGGAGCTATCGACGTCGTACCGGAGCAGCAGGCCTCCACTCAGTTGAACTCAACTTCAAGCTCATCAGTGTTATCTTCGGATCGTCCTTTGTTGTCCGTGCTCAAAGTTAGCACCTCATCCAGAAAAGACTTAGTCGTCCACGCTGTGGTCGATGGTGTTACCCTGCGACTATACTGGTGGATACAGGAGCGTCTGTATCCTTGATGACTGCAGAAGACTTTCAGCGTCATTTCAGCAAACAGCACAGCCTGTCCAAAGCTGTAGTCGACTTGCGAAACTTCTCCAAGCAGCGCATCGGGATCTTTGGCTCCTTCCAAGCTCCAGTCAAAGTGTCGCAGTGGTCTTGCTCCGTGTTCTTCTACGTCAACGATAAGGGCACATCGCTTTTTGGCCTTGACGCCATTCAGCGACTGGGCATCCAGATTGACGGCGTGTCGACTCGCATCATGTGAAGTGCAGTGTCCCTCCAACGTGCCTTCGGGCTTCGAGCAGCTTTTCAGCGACGAGTTGGGTCTCGTCAAGGGTTGCATTCATCGCATTCAACGGCATCCAAGCTGAGACGTCTCCCTCTGGCTCTTCGCAATCAGGTGGCGACCGAGTTGCGACGACTCGAGGACTCGGATGTCATTGAACGCGTCGACGCTTCCGAGTGGGTCTCGCCGCTCGTCGTCGTCCGCAAGAAAAATGGAAGCGTCCGGCTGTGTGTAGATCTCAGAGAACCGAATAAGGCAATTATCATCGATGGGTATCCTTTGCCGCACGTTGAAGAGTTATTGCAGATGTTTCATGGAGCCACTTGTTTTGCTAAGCTAGACTTAGCGTCAGCTTATCACCAGCTGTTGTTAGAGGAGAGCAGTAGGGACTTAACGACGTTCATCACGCATGATGGCTTGTTCAGGTTTAAGCGTGTCTGTTTCGGTCTGGCGTCCGCGCCTGCAGTTTTTCAAAAAATGATGTCCCAGATTTTAAAAGATTGCAAGAATGTAATTTGCTATCTGGATGATGTCCTTGTGTGGAGTAGGACTCAGTCTGAGCATGACGCGAGCCTAATTGAAGTCTTGACTTGCATAGCCAACAGTGACATGAAGTTGAATGATAAATGTCTTTTTTCCGTGAAAAAACTTGGCTTCTTGGGACACCGTATTTCAGCTGATGGCATATCGCCGTTAGAAAGCAAAGTAAAGGCTATAGTAAATGCCCCAGCTCCTACAGACATTCAGTCTTTACAGTCATTTTTAGGTCTGGAAGGATACTATGCCAAGTTCATTGATTACTATTCAGACCTAGTTGAACCGCTTCGTCTCATGCTCAGGCAGGGCCAAATGTTTTGCTTGTCGAAGGATGCCCAACGCAGTTTTAACCGAGTTGAAAACGCACCTGACTTGTTCGCCTGTCATTAAGGTGTTTAATCCTGAGCTACCTGTGGTGGTTACAACCGATGCATCTGATGTGGGCATCGGGGCTGTGTTACAGCAGCGGTATGGTCCTAAGCTTGGAACAGTAGCCTTTGCGTCGAGAACCTTGTCAGATACTGAAAAAAAGTACTGTGGGTGAACGCGAAGCGCTTGCCTTTCTATTCGCATGTGTAGAGAGAGAGAGAGATAAAGATGCAAGGAAAGGCAGGGAGGTTAACCAGACGCACATCCGATTTGCTACCCTGCACTGGGGAAGGGATAAAGGGGAGAAAAGAGGTTGCAGAAAGATGAGAAGGTACACACAATCACGAGCACACTCGGGGAGCACACACAGTCTACAGGCGGTCGCTCAGGTTTGTTGACTTTAGGTAAAGTAGCAGCGCTTTAGTTGCTTTCTGCGCAACTGAGGCAGATGCCCAAGGTCCTAGTATCTTCTGCACACAAAATGGTCCGGGGTCAAGTCGATTCAAAACCATCCGGAGCTGGCATCGCTGTGTGTCGTAGCAAGCGCAGCTGCACAGGACGTGTTCGACGGTCTCTTCAGCTCCGCAGTAGTCGCAAGTAGGAATGTCTGCCATACCAATGCGAAAGGAGTACACCTTTTTAAATGCAACACCCAACCAAAGGCGGTATAACAGTGTTGCATCGGAGCGGAAAAGTCGTGATGGTAGCTTTAGCTTGAGCGAAGGATCCAGTTCATAAAGTTGACACCTTTGGAAGCTGGTAGACGACCAGAACGTGCGTGTGAGATCTCGAGCCAGCAGGTAAAGTTGTCTTGCTGCATCGTTCCTTGATAGAGAAATCGGGACTACACGGGTTTCTTCATGGGCTGAGCGGGCTGCATCATCAGCTAATTGATTTCCGGTAATACCGATATGTGCAGGTAGCCATTGATATATAATATCATGCCCTCGTGCTAGAGCTTCATGATGGCAATGTCTTATTTCTTGTACCAGTTGGTCATGACTCCTCCTTCGCATGGCAGACTGCAAACTCTGAAGCGCTGCCTTCGAATCACAGAATATGACCCATTTTCCTGGACGTTCTTGAACGAGATATTGTAAAGCAGCTCTTACAGCAGCAAGCTCTGATGCCGTAGATGTAGTCATATGCGACAACTTAAACTTGATTGTCATTTCTGCAGTCGGAATTACAGCGGCACCTGATGAGCTGCTGGACGAGACGGACCCATCAGTGTATATCTGCATTCGGTCTAAGTAAAACTCATGTAATAATAGCAGTGTTGCTTGCTTCAATGCTACTCTGGAGTGACTGCTTTTCTTTTTGATTCCCGGAATTTCTAGACGTACATGCGGCTGGTCGAGGCACCACGAAGGACATGCCGTTCTCGCAGCTGGCGTATATTCTGATGGAATGCTGTTTAGGTGCTTGGCTATGACGTCTGAAAACGTAGCACGTGGTCTTCCGGAAGGTAGAATGGCCAAGTGGTGGTCGGGGACACGGCTAGCATGTCGAATGTGCGCTCTGAGGCAATCCACAACTATATATGTCCTGACCGGATGGTCTTTGGCAAGCATGATTGTGGCATAAGTAGAAGCGCATCGGGGCAGTCCTAGGCAGATACGCAGTGCCTGACCCTGCAAACTCTCCAATGCATGAGTATTCGATTTGCAAGTGTTAGTCAGTACCGGCAAGCTGTAGCGCAATAGACCCAGAAATAGGGCCCTGTACAGCTGTAGCATGGAGGCCACAGAAGTTCCCCATGCTTTACCGCACAAGAATTTCATGATATGCACAATATATAGCAGTCTCTTCTTCAAGTACGCACAATGTGGGTTCCACGAAAGACTTCTGTCAATAATTATGCCCAGGAAACGATGCGTTTGTGCATATTTGACACTCTGCCCATTGATGTAAACAGGATATGGCGTCATTGGTTTGCGTGTAAACGCCATCAATGCGCACTTCACAGTTGATATATTTAAGCCTTGTTTCTGAAGGTAGGCTGTTGTGAGGGTTGCTGCCCGCTGTATTCGTGCACGCACCTGAGGGCGAGTAACTGCAGCACTCCAGAGGCAAATATCATCGGCGTATATGGATAGGCACACCGACTTTGGCAGAACCTTCACAAGATCAATGAGGGCCACATTGAACAATGTGGGGCTTAAAACACCTCCCTGAGGTACTCCGCAGTAGGTGTAATGTTGGGAAGTTGTACCCTCATATGTTTGTACAAAGAAACCCCTGCCAGTTATATAATCTTTTATCCATTGAAACATTCGTCCACCAATGCCCATTGCTGCGAGAGAAGTGAGGATGGCATCGTGAGCTACATTATCGTATGCACCCTTCAGGTCAAGAAAGAGTGCCACTGATATGCGCTTGCGACTTTTTTCTTGTTGAACAAATGTCGATAAGTCAAGGACACAGTCAATGGAGGAGCGGCCCCGACGAAAGCCTGCCATGCAAGAAGGGTATTTGGTGTATCGTTCCAAGTACCACTCGAGACGAAATAGAACCATTCTTTCCATCACTTTTCCGAGGCAGCTTGCGAGGGCAATACGCTGTCAAGTCCAATGGTGATTTTCCCGATTTCAAAAGTGGTATTAATCGACTTATTTTCCATTCTCGGAGAACACTGCCGCTGAGCCAGGAGTTGCTGAAGCATGTTAAAAGTTCTTTTCTGGCTTTTTGTCCAAGGTGTCCCAACGCACTATAAATAATACCATCAGGACCTGGCGATGACATGCGCTTATAAGCGACTAACGCACCTTCCAGTTCTTCCATGGTGAACGGAATGTCCATTTCTGGTAATCACGTCTCAGGAACGATAACGGCGTCCATGCTCTCGTTCATAATATTCCCGGCAACTCTCGTGCAAAATTCTTCAGCCACATCGAGTTCTGTTTTTCCATGATGGAATTCCAAAGCTTTAAAAGGGTGCCATTGTTGCGGAGAGGAGCGAAGACCACGAACTGTTCTCCAGATATATGTGAAAGGTGGCATATTTACCTCTGGGGTAGACGTTTCACCCTTAGAACCGACCATCAGGCTGTAGTTGCTTTGTTAGCCGCAGGTGATGCAGGCCGACGGCTTTTAAGGATTTCGCGGTTGTCAGCTACACTTTTGTATTACAACTTTGACATAGAATATTCCAAGGGCTCAGAAAATGTGGTCGCTGAAGCCCTGTCTAGGCTGCCAATTCAAACCTGTCCAGAACTTAGCAAGGATGAAGAAATAGTGTCTTTAGTGACATCTGTAGTTGACAAAGAAACCGTCCAACTTTCAACGAATGCAGATGTGACGTTGTAAAAAGTCTGTGAATGTGTATCCAAGGGCTGGCCTTTTAAGAAGCATATAAACAATGAGTTAATGGATTACTTTCATGCTAGGAATGAACTCTCTTGTGTTGACGGATTACTCATGCGTGGTGACCATGTAGTCATTCCTAGTGTTCTGGTACCTACTTTCCTTCAATTACCACATGAAAATCATCAAGGGATAGTACGTACTAAGCAACTTCTGCGTGAAAGGTATCGGTGGCCCCAAATGGATTGTTCTGTAGAAGAACATGTCAAGCATTGTCACATCTGTCAGCTGACAGACAAGCCGGCCAAGCCGCGTGTAGCACCATTGCAGCCCGTCGAATGGCCTGAAGGGCCGTGGCAAAAGTTGGGTATGGACATTGTCGGCCCGTTAAATGCATCCTTTTCCAGGTATCTTGTTACCTTAGTCCACTACTATTCAAAATGGCCTGAGGTTCTTGGCACGAATTCTATCTCCACAGAGGATGTCCTTAAGCTTTTGGAATTGTCGTTTAGCCGGGAAGAGCTACCAGAGTTCTTAGTAACTGACAATGGTCCACAATTTGTCTCTGTACAATTTCAGGAATATCTAAAGGAACAGGGCATCCGTCATATATTTTCGTCCAATTATTACCCCCGGGCCAACGGTCAAATAGAACGCCTTAACAGGGTTCTTAAGGAACATTTGCAGGTGACTTGAAGGTAAAGATGCCTCGAGGAGCATCACACAATTTTTGAGTTCGTATAGGGTCACACCACATGCGGTGACTGGCCTGTCTCCAGCTTTTTTGTTGCACGGTCGACAACCTCGTTCCAAAGTAGGCATTAGCAACATTCGTCCTAAAGTATCGGAGTCGCCCAATGGGTTGCCTCATGTCCGGAATCAGGTTGCAGCGAAACAGAATAAGAGCAAAGGGTATTTTGACAAAAGGAAAGGTGCGCAGCAAACCTGCATAAAGGTCGGCGATTTGGTTAAGGTAAGACTCCATAGGAAAGGCTTTTTCAAGTATAGTAGGCTTCTTACAGTGAAGGCTCAGGTTGCGCCGTCCACTTTTCTCCTTAGTGACAAAAAAGTGTGGAATGCATCCAAGTTAACAGTAATTCCTAGGGATTCTTTCCAGAATGCCGCGCTTTCTACTACACCCAAAGAATGTATTTACTCTTATTCCAGTTTAGATCTTTGTGGCAGTCAGTCCCCTGGTGCACCTACGTTGCAGGGCTCCAACCCCAGTTTTCAGCCAGACTCTGATTCGTCAGAGATCTCTTATAGTAAAGAGTCTGAATCAGTTGTTCCCCAAGGAACGTTGGGAAGTCAGCAGGACCCGGTGCGGGTACCTTTTTCAAGTAATCCACTAAATCTCAACCCTGGGGAGGGGGAAAGTGAAGGGGCTACAAAGCTTTCAAAGACGACCGAACCTGGTCGCACTTTAACAAGTTCTACTGAGACTTCTATGCGTCCACGCCGTCAGACAAAACGACCTGACTGGCTGAAATATTTTGTCACTTAAGGTCAAAAGAGTTCTTTCTATAATGCCGTGGCTAGTGGGCCCAGCCACGACATCGCAGGAGACTTTCAGTTCTGTGTTTTTTGCCGTGTATTTCGTTTCACAAGATGTGTGACGTATCTGTTGTATTAGGCCACGTGTGTCTGTGCGTGAACTGTTCTTCTCCCCGCCGCTCGTGTGGCGTGAACATTCTTTAGTGGAGATCCTGGGACTTCCTCTAGTGTTACCCTGTGATAATGCTCATTTTGTCGACGGGGGGGGGGGGGGGGGATGAGGATGTTAGAGTGCCTCGATGCGCGCGCCTCTGCTTAGAGTGGTGTCAGCCTTTGTAAGGGCAGGTGCCGCCGCCTCGGCCTTAGCGGCGGCATGACCGCCATTTTGACTCCACTCAGTCACTTCTGCGTGTTCGCTGCGCCCGAATAATTGTGCTGGCGCTCGCTACCGTCACCGTAGCGGGTATTGCGTGCCGCAGGGCACTAATCATTGCAGAAACTCTGGAAGCTGTATCGTTTCC